GATATCTTGAGACAATACGAATATATATTGAATGTTACGAGCAACATTACCTTGAGCCTTTTGTTTATAATTTTATAGCAATTTTCTTACCCATTTTGTGATCATGTAATACAACATTTTACAACGTATTATATTTATGACAATGGAAAAATCCATTACATTAAATTAATCCCATTATTTGATATTCTTTAAGAAACAATTTCCGTTTATAATCGTCAATGAATAACAAATTTGCATAAATAAAGAAACTATTTGCACATATGCATACATAATATGTATGTATGTATCTCTCGCGTGAGTTTTGTGAAAAATAAAGTCCCTATTTAAATCGATCTGTCAATATGTCATTCGTTTAAATAAAGATAAACATATAAACGCAGCATGCACTGTTCTTCGTTAACGTAAGATTTTTATTAAATTGACCTTGAATTGACCTGAAAAATAATCGAAGGAAGAAATGTCAAGGAATTCGCGGCGCAACGACGAATCGACAAATGTGTTGCCCATATCGCGCTCTTCCGAAATCACGGAAGAATTTTCGCCTCCTCCCTCCCGAATCCCGATGGCGAAATGGCAGGAGATCCTGGAGGATGAGCATGTCAGCCATGTCGTCGGCTACATCCGCGAGGAGATCGTCCAATCAGCCGGGGATGTTATTTACGACAATTACCTTCGGAGATCGGTCTACCGTTTCATTGTCGATTGCGCGCATAAAGCTTGGATACGCGTGTTTCGGGTAATTGCGTAAAGCGATAAAGATACGATGATGGCTCTGGCGAAAATAAAGATTCGGAGCACAAGAGAGAACGTGACAGAAGTAAATGAATATCTTTTTAGGAAGCGTGGGTTGAGGCCGTGTTTGGATATTCATTGCTGCCAGCATTACTGCTTTCTGTCATTTTTCCCTTTATGCTTTATTTACACTGCGGATCTTTATTTTTTCATCAGAACGAATTGAATTATAAACATTATGTTACGATTATTGTGAGCAATCGATTACGCTCACAGTGGATGCATTTGGAGTACGATCGAGGAATATCGGATGGCCATGTCCCAGATGAGAAAGCACTGTCGCCAGTCGCTAAACATCCCCCACCGCATCGGGGTGTCCCAACAGTGTACGGACGACTTGCAAAATTAGTCGCAAGTCAAAAATCGTTAAGCTATAACAAAACGGCCTGCGTAAAAAGCACGTTGCGTGGAAAAAACGAACGATTACGTACAAGGAATCCGTAATTAAAATAATTATGCGGTTTGATTAAGAAAAAATTCACAGTTTTTAATCTCGACTGGCATTTGTGTTTACATGTGTGTAAAATAATTATTTTTAACCGACGAGATAATAAACTATTAAATGCAAATTCACGCGGTGACGCGGAAATCACTCGTGCCTTTCATATAAGCACAAATAATTCATCAATCATATCTCGATCAACAAAAAAACAAAAAAAAGAAATAATTAGATTAAGATTTTATAGTAAAAAGTGTCAGTCAAATCACAATTATGATTGGCAATGATTCCACTCGCTCGCTACCAATGAACAATTAATTATTTATATAAATACAGGTAATACGATCTTTTATTCACCGAAGTACACCGCAAGTTGTTCCTTCCGCACCAACTTCAAAGTATTCACTCGTTCATCCAACTCGTAAATCCAATTGGCTAATTATCGCACGTTACTCGCTCGATTAATTCGACACTCGCGACACTCGTTCACATGCAAATTCTACTTCAACGGACGAAACGTATGAAAAACATTGCTACAATTCCGTTTCAATCCCAAACGAAACGCGGCGCGAGAGATAACATGGCGTGCGTCGCTGCGCGCGCTTTGTTCCAAGCATAGTGTCTCCTGATCTGTGTGATCTCAACATCATCGGAGATATTCGATTTACCGTCACGTTAATTTGCACATCACATCGATCACTCAATATTCACAACAAACACTCGATAGGCGGCACACAATTCGCACTCGCGATTTATTCCAACACGTAAAAATTACGGAGCAACCGAACCGCGATCTCGAAGGGACGCCGCTGTTGCGGTTGACGCGCTTAAACATGGCGGATGCGCATGCGCGCCCTTCACTCTACGCGGCGTCTCCCGTTGTATCTTGATTTCGATTTTGAAATGACTGATTAACCACTGCGCGTTCATTATCGATCGTAACGATCATCCAGGATCTTCAGTCTCGATATCGACGACATCCTAAACAACACATGTGATTCTTCTCAACGAACGAAACGCGAAAAACATGCTGCCCCGAATGAAACACGTACGCCCCGCTGTGGTGCGTCGCGAACTTGTGACTACGCATGCGCGCGTCACAAGGTCGCGCGACCATTTATCAAACACAAAAATACTCGTGAATATTCATCGTAAAACGATTTGTTAAATTTCTTAATTGGTACGCAAACATTATATTTCATTTGGCATGCACGAATCTTAAATTCGTGATTTTTATGCATTGATTTTTTATTGAAATACGCAATGCGATGCAAATTTGAAAACTATACGAAAGTACGAAAGAAACATGGCGACTGCGCAAGCGCGCAATTATATGCAGAAAGGGATCAGATCAAAAGATCTAAACCTTTTTTTGTTTTATTTGGATTTGATAAAAATGCAATTTTATCTATAATTTATC